TTACGCCTTTGGATTTTTTTGTGGGGTTATCTCAAGAACAAAGTATATGCAACACAATCAACTATCATTGAAGACCTCAAAAAGTAAGGATAACTACAGAAATACGGAATATTTCACCTCAAACTTTAAACAAAGTTCGGAACGAGTTTTATAGGAGACTGTGTTATTGCCAACAACAAGGTGGAGAACATGTTGAGCATTTATTTTAATGTAATCCAATCAATTACCTCGGGTATTCTATGAATTCATTGTCTTGAAGAAAATACCTAATTTCAAAATTTCACCTTGTATTATTCATAATAGACCCTACATGATATAGTTCGTTAAAATCAGGTTGTTAAGTTAATTTATCTCAACGTTTTTTATTATTTTCTAAAATAAGGACACAAACATTTTATTCCATAGTGTTTTCCACACTGAATATATAATATAACACATTTATAAAATTAACTCAACTACAGTTTTTATTTAAACATTTTTTTATCGGTGTACAGATGGTAAAAGGATTCCTTTGCGTTTTTACCCCCCTGAGAGGAGGTTTAGGGGAAGCCCGGGGTAAAAATGGGAATACTTTTGCATGATTTGGCGGGTCCCCAAAAATAATATCCCACAAAATCAGCTTGTTTGTATGATTTTTAGAGGTTCAGTAGCATTTTCATCCCTGACGACTGGAGTAAACTATTAGTGGCCAAAATAAGGTTCGATAGGTAACAATAAAACAAAAACTTTTACAAAATTTATTTTCAATTACTATCAAGACAAGCTGTATAGACAGAGTGTCTTTCTCAAGTGATCCAATTTTCTGGCGTTTACAATTAAGTCTTTAACGAAAAATAGGTAGGAAGAGAGGAGAATGTTTGTCTCAAGTTGGTCATTTAGATTCTGTCGTGATCAATATTGTGTTTTTTAAAATTGTAAATTTCAATAGATACAAACAAAGTTAGACTTAAGCTTATATTTTATGTTAAGATTTTTAAATTCGTCAATAAAAAAGAAATGATCATGATCTAGAAGTAAAATGGTATAGAACCTCTTAGTTATATTCATTTACTTGAAATTTTACCAGTTTGACGGATGGTAAGTTTTTGGTGGCAGTCGGGCACAATTAAGATTGTGTAGGCCGAGGTCACGACTGTGCACAAGTGCTTTATAATTTTGGCTCTGTGTTGTTTTTTAATATATTTGCTTTAAAGTTGTTGTCTGTGTCTGAAAGCTGGGGTTGATATCTTACTTTTTGTGTGTTGTCTTTTTTTTGTTGTCGAAGGTTACGGGGTTTTTCTCAGGTGGTGAAAATACTAATTTAGGGCTTTGTTGTGTGAGTCTATATTGATATAAAATTTTATTGAACCTGGAATTTGCTACACTGTATCGATTATATGCTATTCGAAAACTGCCTATTTTGTATAATGATTTTTAAAATCTGTCATAAAAAAGTATATGGAGAATTCATGTTTGCTTTTAGGTTCTACGCCCCAATTTTTAACATCTACAAAATGAAATGAATAAATATACGATAACAAAATTAGTCGAGGTTGGAAATACTTGGTCTCTAGATGATCCCAGGGGTGTAGGGTTATGTTATCAGGAGATTAGTTACCTTTTATTGGAACGACCATATCGAGCGTCATGACGCGGAGAGATGGTGTTCGTTGATAACTGGTCCTCAATAAGACACCTAACTTCTCGACATTAAGGCTCCAACGTGCCACATGACCCGGCAACTGCATTGGTCTGCAGGTTAAACTAAGTAACGGTAGCCAAATATGGCAAAAATCTTAACGAGTGATTGCCGGTATAAGCAGTTCCCCCATTACGGACCAACTGACTTCGGGCGTAGGAGTTGGTAAGTGGTAGAGCACTTTTTGTCCGGTGTTGAGAAATCGACCTTAAAGGCGGATGAACCAAATTTGGTCAACGACATAAGGATGTAGAAGGTAAGGGGAAACCACTCAATAAAAGATCCCTATGGGTATCCTGGAATAATTATCTTATATATCGGATAAAAATGCAACAAAAGGCCCTCAGTTCCGGACAGATCTTAGATGGTCGAGGGTGCTAAGAATTCCCCGGATTCAACTTCAAGATGTTATTCATAAAGTAGCGATATGAAACGTCAATAGTTTGTGCAGGTGCATCCAGGAAAGTTACATAACTTGCTCAAAGAAATGCGGCGCCTAGAAGAGAAAGCAATGGGTGTAAGTGAATTGAGGTGGTCTGGCTCAGGTATTTTCTCACAAAGACAACTTTTACAGTGTACTATTCGGTAGCGACGCCACAGATAATTACACAGGCATGGAGTTGCAATAGTGCTTGATAATAGAATTGCGATGTCTGTTATAGATTACATACCCGTTTCAAACAGAGTAATCATAGTGAAGTTAGCGGTCAACCTATTAATATGAATCTAATAAGTCTACGCACCCACATCTGATAAACCGGAAACTGAAGTTTTAGATTTCTATAAAGACATAAAGGAAGCAATAAAGGTCACAAAGAAAAACGATATTAACATCATAATGGGCGATTTTATGCCAAAGTCGGTAGGGGTAGATGTGGTAATGCGGTCGGTGATTTCGTCTGGGTAATAAAATGAGCGAGGGAGTTACTAATGAATTTTGTAACGATCACGATTTCGTCATATCCAATACGTGGTATCAACTCCCACCAAGAAGATTGTATACATGGCGAGCACCAGGAGATCGTCCAGGTCATATGATACGAAATCAAATTGATTACATCTTGATAAAACAAAAGATTCCGCAACTTATATAAAAGAGTGGCCGCTTACCCTGGTGCGGACATTTCGTCTGACACAATCCCCTAATCGCGAATGTAAGGCTTCGATTGGCAAAGGTTAAAAAGCCATCTAATAAAAAATACATAAACACTAGAAAATTAATGAGAGATGAAGAGCTTAGATCTACATACAGTAAGCACATCAACGAGAACTTGAGAAACATACAAGGAAATTGCATAGAGGAAACCTGTGAGAAAATAAAAATAGCTATAGTCGAGCTGACGAAGTAGTCGCAAGTAAAATAAAAAGAAATCACAAAAACGAGTGGATGACGGAAGAGATACTTGATCTATGGAGCAACGCAGACAGTACAAAATACATCAGAATCAACAGGAATACAAGGAAATCCAACGTACGATAAGGGCAAGAATTAAAAACGCAAAGGAAAGCTGGATGAAAGAACGTTGTGAAGAATTGGAATCACTACAAGAAAAGGGAGACAGCTTTGGACTACATAAAAAGGTCAAAGAAATTTCGAGTATATACAAGAAACACATGAGACTCGCCTGAAGAATGATCAAGGAAACTACGTTCATACACAGAAAGAACTAGCTAAAATCTGGGCAAACTATGCTTCGTCCCTCTTTGCGGATAATAGACCGAATCTGCCAACTACTAACTTACCACGGAAAATTTATCCGGCCCTCCATTATTCGCGCCGAGGTGGAGTACGCTATAAAAGTAGCAAAACTAGGCAAAGCCCCTGGACCGGATGGAATTACTACGGAAGCCATAAAACTGTTGGAAAATGATAACATCGACATGCATGGTAACAACTTTCAACGCCATATAACATCGGCCACATTCCAACGAATTGGCTTTATTCAACCTTTATAATGATCCCTAAATCACAAAGGCGAACAAAATGCAAGAGCCCACAGACTAATAAGTTTATTGAGCCATCTGCTTAATGGTTTCTTCGACTTCACACTTCACACAAGAATGTTCAGAAGCTGGAAGATTCTAAGCGGTGAGACACAATTGGTTTCATGAGCAGACTAGGTACATGTTAAGCAGCTTTCTGCTTACATACGCTTGTACAAAACTGCATGGATCAACAAAGGATGTGAAAGGAATGCAATAAGAAAAAACGCACTTTAAGAATACAACTGCAAGTAGATGTGCTCCAATCGATCAAGTGAAACATATAAATACTTGGAATGATGACGAATGACCAATGGGATCCTCAACAAGAAATAAAAATGCCGTACCGAACAAGCAAGACAAGCTTTTATCAAATTAAACCTACTATGTAACCGCAATCTTTCCTTCAATCTCCGCTACAGGATGGTTAAATGCTATGTATGGTCCATATTGTTATACGGCATGGAAACATGGACGTTAAGAGTACCTTCCATTAATAAGTTGGAGGCCTTCAAATGTGGACGTTGCGAAAAATGTTCCGCATACCATGGACAGATAGGGTGAGAAACGAGGAAGTCTTAAGAAAGGCAAATACTGAGAGAGAACTACTCAATTTGATCAAGGTACGAAAAATTGGATACCTCGGCCATATTCTGAGAGGAAAAAAATACGCAATCCCTCAACTAATCATCCAGGGAAAGATTGAAGGCAAGAGAGGAGTAGGTCGCAAACAAATGTGTGGCTACGGAAACATAAAGAACTGGACAGGCATAAATAACACTGGCGATCTTTTGCATGTCGCAAAAGACAGCGTCTGGCCTTAAGATAATTCGTATAACGCAACTACAGGTCACGCGCACTATCTTATGCTTCGGCAACAATAAGAAGTAGGAGCATTGTAATATTCATGATCAAATTACAAGAATACCTTTATAAATAATATTAAATTGACGGAACTGATATAAATAATATTAGTCCTCATACATATATTCCATAAAAATGTTACATGCGGTTGAAGGAATATAAATTTAAAAAATAGCTGTAAATTAGGTTCAGTAAATTACTAAATAAAGATTCTGATGTCTTTCTATATTATATTACAGACCCTGTGTATTATACTTGTTTACAAATTAATCAAATCTATTTTGTAAATAAATTATATCTTTTACTTCACACGGTTACAACTATTTTCAAAATATACGTTTCCGAAAAACATGACTTGCATACGTCACTAATTCCGTGTGGTTCTGGTCATTTCTAGTGTGCAAACCCCCCTGCACACGACACGTACGAACCAACGAACGGTATTATAAAACCGAAGCCGAGAATCCTGTCCCACATTCTGACTCAGATTGTAGTTATCAAACCAACACGTAATAATAATTAAAAGTGACGTAGTTTGTTTATATATTTCAAACGGTACGTATATTTTTTATATCGAGCGTAGATTATACTAAAATATTTAATATTTATAACCGGTATATTCAGTATTATTTTAATTACTTACTTGGTTAAAATGTAAAATTTAATAAAAATTAGAAGCACTTAATAGCCTAATACAGTTTCAAGCAAGAGTTTAATCATTTATTTTTAAAGTTCTTTTTTAATTTAACATCCTTCACGATGACCTTTTTTATATCAAAACGTTAATGAAGTTATATCTAAGATAGTCTTGTTGATACCAGTTTATTGAATACTTTATTATTGGTAAAAATATTATTTAAAATTTTACGAGAATTATTATTTTTCCAAACCACCATGGCGTTTCTTATTGAATTTGTTTGCTTTTTTTATATTTTATACTTCTAATCATTTCTTACTTTTTTTATCTAGTGTACCCTAAATTTTTATAAAAGATTGGCCATATTAACATCTCTTTTTATTTCTTTTTATTTATTTATCCAATTTAACCAATTTATAGAATTAAATCACAAAAGTTAAGAATATCAATTCATAATGCATAATATTATTATAAAACATATTGATGCTACAACCTTACTATTATACTTACATCTATTCCACAAGAATATTGACATACATACAAGACCTATTTAAATTGTTTTGGCATTTAACATTGCTAATCTATCTTCCTCTTCTTCTTCTTCTCGTAGCACTACAACCTGGGGTGGGTCTTGGCTGACTGCACAACTTGCTTTCATCTTGAACGGTCGTCCATAATAGTTGGGTCAGTGGGTAGCCCCATTATTCTTAGATCTAACCATATATTGTCTCTCCATCGCATTCGTGAACGTCGCAAGGGCCTTCTTCCTGTACGGGTTCCTGCCATATTAACTTCGCAAGGCGGTTATTAGGTAGTCTATGGACATGGCCAGCCCATCTTAAACGTTGGGATTTAATGTCTTGGACTATGTCGCTCGTTTTGTACATCTGCTTCACCTCAGCATTTATTCCCATTCGGTATTGGTTGCTATTAGTGTTATGATAAAGCCCAAAGATTCTTCAAAACATCTAAGTTTCTGTTCAGTTTCTTTAGTCAGATTCCTCACCTTACACCAGTACATGAGCACCGGTCTAATCACCGTTTTTTAAAAAGGAGAGGTGACAGCGCATATTTTTGTTTTTCTTATAATCTATCTGTTTAACAACTAATAAACTATAAAAATTAAATCCTAATACGTCTCGTTAAAGAGACATGCTTGAAAAGTGTCTTATTTGACAGCTATTATTTATGATTTTATATCTATTAGCATTTTTCAATATATTTATAATATGTCACATTATCCGTTTCTTCTTTATCATCATTTCACACACGATGCAGTCTTGCCCGTTCTTACATCAAATCGCTTCGTCTTTTTAAGCAACTTCCTACACCTTTTCCTTTCCGTTTTTATCTAGTATTTGTTTATGACAGCGACTTGTATTCATTTTTAAATCTGGTGCCCACTTTGTTTTGTACCCTTTATTTTTTTTCATTGATTAAATTGGTACTAAGTTCTTGCGCCTTAATAGCTTTATCTATCTAATGCCACTTACTCTTCAAAGATATATCAATTTATTAACTTAACTTCTATAGTAACTTGTTTATGTCATTACCAAGATTCAATTTTGTGATTGCTTATTCTAGTGGATGCTCTTTGCTTCCCATGTTTGTTGTTATAAGGTATATATTTTCAAACACCATACCTTTCACCTTTTTGTAGATATTTTCATATTGCAATTCTTATATATAAACATAGTTTATAGATGCTCTTTGTAACTTACTTTCAAAAGTTTGGTTTAGTAAAAATTGAATAGAAACCAAAAGTATTTTTTTGCCTTAAGTGGGTTGATTCGTTTGTATACGTATTACTTTATTCCAATAACGTTTTTATTTTTTAAATCACATTTTAATTAAATTATTATGTGTCTTTAGAAAATGGATTGTTGCAAACAAGGAGAATCCCGTAAAATTGTCAAACAATGCAAGTTTACTAAGCAAGACGGGACTGAAGTAGATTGCGAATGCACTTGCACCTGCCTATGTGAAAGTGACTGCCAAGGTTGTCCTGGCAGAAATGGTTGTAATTGCGACTGTTCTGTAAAAACTGCTGAACTAGGACCTGATGGGAAATATCGTTGCAAATGTGAATGTACATGCAGCATACAGGTACATATTCTTTACATTTGAGGTTTAATAAAGTTTAGCACCTTATGCTCATTTTAAAATATTTTTATTTTTATTGATTTCTGACTTATTATTTACCACTTGAACTGATTTATACTTCCAATTCTAGAAAAAGGATTGTTGCAAGCAAGGAGAATCCCGCAAAATTGTCAAAAAATGCAAGTTTACTAAGCAAGACGGGACTGAAGTAGATTGTGAATGCACTTGCACCTGCCTATGTGAAAGTGACTGCCAAGGTTGTCCTGGCAAAAATGGCTGTAATTGCGACTGTTCTGAAAAAACTGCTGAACAAGGACCTGATGGAAAATATCGTTGCAAATGTGAATGTACATGCAGCTCACAGGTACATATTCTTCACATATTTGAGACCAAAAAATTCAACATCTCATGCTTATTTTAAAATATTATTATTTTTTATTGATTTCTGACTTATTATTTACCACTTGACCTGATTTATACTTCTAATTCTAGAAAAAGCATTGTTGCAAGCAAGGGGAATTGCGCAAAATTGTCAAACAATGCAAATTTACTAAGCAAGACGGGACTGAAGTAGATTGTGAATGCACTTGCACCTGCCTATGTGAAAGTGACTGCCAAGGTTGTCCTGGCAAAAATGGCTGTAATTGCGACTGTTCTGAAAAAACTGCTGAACTAGGACCTGATGGAAAATATCGTTGCAAATGTGAATGTACATGCAGCTCACAGGTACATATTCTTTACATTTGAGGCTTAATAAAGTTTAGCATCTCATGCTCATTTTAAAATATTCTTATTTTGATTGATTTTTGACTTATTCTTTACCACTTTAACTTATTTATACTTCTAATTCTAGAAAAAGGATTGTTGCACGCAAGAAGAATCCCACAAAATTGTCAAACAATGCAAGTTTACTAAGCAAGACGGGACTAAAGTAGATTGCGAATGCACTTGCACCTGCCTATGTGAAAGTGACTGCCAAGGTTGTCCTGGCAAAAATGGCTGTAATTGCGACTGTTCTGAAAAAACTGCTGAACTAGGACCTGATGAGAAATATCGTTGCAAATGTGAATGTAGATGCAGCTCACAGGTACATATTCTTTAAATTTGAAGCTTTATAAAGTTTAGCATCTCATGCTTATTTTAAAATATTCTTATTTTGATTGATTTTTGACTTATTATTTACCACTTTAACTTATTTATATTTCTAATTTTAGAAAAAGGATTGTTGCAAGCAAGGAGAATCCCGCAAAATTGTCAAACAATGCAAGTTTACTAAGCAAGACGGGACTGAAGTAGATTGCGAATGCACTTGCACCTGCCTATGTGAAAGTGACTGCCAAGGTTGTCCTGGCAAAAATGGCTGTAATTGCGACTGTTCTGAAAAAAACTGCTGAACTAGGACCTGATGGAAAATATCGTTGCAAATGTGAATGTACATGCAGCTCACAGGTACATATTCTTTACATTTGAGGCATAATAAAGTTTAGCATCTCATGCTCATTTTAAAATATTCTTATTTTGATTGATTTTTGAGTTAATATTTACCACTTTAACTTATTTATACTTCTAATTCTAGAAAAACGATTGTTGCAAGCAAGGAGAATCCCGCAAAATTGTCAAACAATGCAAGTTTACTAAGCAAGACGGGACTGAAGTAGATTGCGAATGCACTTGCACCTGCCTATGTGAAAGTGACTGCCAAGGTTGTCCTGGCAAAAATGGCTGTAATTGCGACTGTTCTGAAAAAACTGCTGAACTAGGACCTGATGGGAAATATCGTTGCAAATGTGAATGTACATGCAGCTCACAGGTACATATTCTTTATATTTGAGGCTTAATAAAGTTTAGCATATCATGCTAATTTTAAAATATTCTTATTTTGATTGATTTTTGACTTATTATTTACCACTTTAACTTATTTATACTTTTAATTCTAGAAAAAGGATTGTTGCAAGCAAGGAGAATCCCGCAAAAGTTGTCAAACAATGCAAGTTTACTAAGCAAGACGGCACTGAAGTAGATTGCGAATGCATTTGCACCTGCCTATGTGAAAGTGACTGCCAGGGTTGTCCTGGCAAAAATGGCTGTAATTGCGACTGTTCTGAAAAAACTGCTGAACTAGGACCTGATGGGAAATATCGATGCAAATGTGAATGTACATGCAGCTCTCAGGTACATAGATTCTTTAAATTTGAAGCTTTAATAAAGTTTAGCATCTCATGCTCATTTTAAAATATTCTTATTTTTATTGATTTTTGACTTATTATTTACCACTTTAACTTATTTATACTTTTAATTCTAGAAAAAGGATTGTTGCAAGCAAGGAGAATCCCGCAAAATTGTCAAACAATGCAAGTTTACTAAGCAAGACTGCACTGAAGTAGATTGCGAATGCATTTGCACCTGCCTATGTGAAAGTGACTGCCAAGGTTGTCCTGGCAAAAATGGCTGTAATTGCGACTGTTCTGAAAAAAACTGCTGAACTAGGACATGATGGGAAATATCGTTGCAAATGTGAATGTACATGCAGCTCACAGGTACATATTCTTTAAATTTGAAGCTTTATAAAGTTTAACATCTCATGCTTATTTTAAAATATTCTTATTTTTATTGATTTTTGACTTATTATTTACCACTTTAACTTATTTATACTGTTAATTCTAGAAAAACGATTGTTGCAAGCAAGGAGAATCCCGCAAAATTGTCAAACAATGCAAGTTTACTAAGCAAGACGGGACTGAAGTAGATTGCGAATGCACTTGCACCTGCCTATGTGAAAGTGACTGCCAAGGTTGTCCTGGCAAAAATGGCTGTAATTGCGACTGTTCTGAAAAAACTGCTGAACTAGGACCTGATGGGAAATATCGTTGCAAATGTGAATGTACATGCAGCTCACAGGTACATATTCTTTACATTCGAGGATTAATAAAGTTTAGCATCTCATGCTCATTTTAAAATATTCTTATTTTCATTGATTTTTGACTTATTGTTTACCACTTTAACTTATTTATATTTCTAATTCTAGAAAAAGGATTGTTGCAAGCAAGGAGAATCCCGCAAAATTGTCAAACAATGCAAGTTTACTAAGCAAGACGGGACTGAAGTAGATTGCGAATGCACTTGCACCTGCCTATGTGAAAGTGACTGCCAAGGTTGTCCTGGCAAAAATGGCTGTAATTGCGACTGTTCTGAAAAAACTGCTGAACTAGGACCTGATGGAAAATATCGTTGCAAATGTGAATGTACATGCAGCTCACAGGTACATATTCTTTACATTTGAGGCATAATAAAGTTTAGCATCTCATGCTCATTTTAAAATATTCTTATTTTGATTGATTTTTGAGTTAATATTTACCACTTTAACTTATTTATACTTCTAATTCTAGAAAAACGATTGTTGCAAGCAAGGAGAATCCCGCAAAATTGTCAAACAATGCAAGTTTACTAAGCAAGACGGGACTGAAGTAGATTGCGAATGCACTTGCACCTGCCTATGTGAAAGTGACTTCCAAGATTGTCCTGGCAAAAATGGCTGTAATTGCGACTGTTCTGAAAAAAACTGCTGAACTAGGACCTGATGGGAAATATCGTTGCAAATGTGAATGTACATGTAGCCCACAGGTACATATTCTTTATATTTGAGGCTTAATAAGGTTTAGCATATCATGCTAATTTTAAAATATTCTTATTTTGATTGATTTTTGACTTATTATTTACCACTTTAACTTATTTATACTTTTAATTCTAGAAAAAGGATTGTTGCAAGCAAGGAGAATCCCGCAAAATTGTCAAACAATGCAAGTTTACTAAGCAAGACGGCTCTGAAGTAGATTGCGAATGCATTTGCACCTGCCTATGTGAAAGTGACTGCCAGGGTTGTCCTGGCAAAAATGGCTGTAATTGCGACTGTTCTGAAAAAACTGCTGAACTAGGACCTGATGGGAAGTATCGATGCAAATGTGAATGTACATGCAGCTCACAGGTACATATTCTTTAAATTTGAAGCTTTATAAAGTTTAGCATCTCATGCTCATTTTAAAATATTCTTATTTTTATTGATTTTTGACTTATTATTTACCACTTTAACTTATTTATACTTTTAATTCTAGAAAAAGGATTGTTGCAAGCAAGGAAAATCCCGCAAAATTGTCAAACAATGCAAGTTTACTAAGCAAGACGGCTCTGAAGTAGATTGCGAATGCATTTGCACCTGCCTATGTGAAAGTGACTGCCAAGGTTGTCCTGGCAAAAATGGCTGTAATTGCGACTGTTCTGAAAAAACTGCTGAACTAGGACCTGATGGGAAGTATCGATGCAAATGTGAATGTACATGCAGCTCACAGGTACATATTCTTTAAATTTGAAGCTTTATAAAGTTTAGCATCTCATGCTCATTTTAAAATATTCTTATTTTTATTGATTTTTGACTTAATATTTACCACTTTAACTTATTTATACTTCTAATTCTAGAAACAGGATTGTTGCAAGCAAGAAGAATCCCGCAAAATTGTCAAACAATGCAAGTTTACTAAGCAAGACGGGACTGAAGTAGATTGCGAATGCACTTGCACCTGCCTATGTGAAAGTGACTGCCAAGGTTGTCCCGGCAAAAATGGCTGTAATTGCGACTGTTCTGAAAAAAACTGCTGTACTAGGACCTGATGGGAAATATCGTTGCAAATGTGAATGTACATGCAGCTCACAGGTACATATTCTTTACATTTGAGGCTTAATAAAGTTTAGCATCTTATGCTCATTTTAAAATATTCTTATTTTGATTAATCTTACACTTATTATTTACCACTTTAACTTATTTATACTTCTAATTCTAGAAAAAGGATTGTTGCAAGCAAGGGGAATTCCGCAAAATTGTCAAACAATGCAAGTTTACTAAGCAAGACGGGACTGAAGTAGATTGTGAATGCACTTGCACCTGCCTATGTGAAAGTGACTGCCAAGGTTGTCCTGGCAAAAATGGCTGTAATTGCGACTGTTCTGAAAAAAATGCTGAACTAGGACCTGATGGAAAATATCGTTGCAAATGTGAATGTACATGCAGCTTACAGGTAGATATTCTTTATATATTTGAGACCAAAAAATTCAACATCTCATGCTTATTTTAAAATATTCTTATTTTTATTGATTTCTGACTTATTATTTACCACTTGAACTTATTTTTACTTCTAATTCTAGAAAAAAGATTGTTGCAAGCAAGGGGAATTCCGCAAAATTGTCAAACAATGCAAGTTTACTAAGCAAGACGGCACTGAAGTAGATTGCGAATGCATTTGCACCTGCGTGTGTGAAAGTGACTGCCAGGGTTGTCCTGGCAAAAATGGCTGTAATTGCGACTGTTCTGAAAAAAATGCTGAACTAGGACCTGATGGAAAATATCGTTGCACATATGAATGTACATGTTAGCTTTAAATTGTTGTTTCGCATTATATCTTGGTTGTATTTTCTTTGTAATTTATATTCATTTGCTTTATAAAGACTTTATATAATTTTTGGGAGTTTTATTAAATATCTCTGAACTTCGCTTAGAAATCCTTAGAATAAAAGAAATTACAAATTGTCACGTTATAAAGAAATATTTTGAGCCTTTTTAAGAAGACCGTTTAGAAACATACATGCACATAGATTTGTAAGACGCAAGGAGTACTAAAATGCATTTTTATTACTATAGGTACAAAGTATGACGTTGTTTTAAATATTTAGAATTTTTTTATTAGTTCTGATCTCACAAAAATTGCTTATTTTCTTTAATTCTTAAGAAAAGATTAGTTATTAGCTTAGATTCAAAATTCATGTTTAATTGTCAAGAAGGAAGAGTGAACCTTTTTTTCCTGGGACCAAATCGCCGTTATCATCGAAGCTGAAGCTTTTTCTGTCTTGTGTCCTTTGTGTTTTCCTACACCAAGTCTAGGAGATTTTAACGATGGGAGTATTTTTGTTTAAAGTGTTGGCAAAATTACCAGACGAAATTTATTTATTTGTAAATAAAAGTTTACTTTTGGGCTGGAATCTGTTTATATATATATCTATTATAAAATTTGGTACTTTATTTCATTTCAATTTTATACTTTATTTTCAAAATTTTATACTAAAAGAAAAGACATTTTGATATCCATAGAAAATGAGGCATTGTCAATTGTCTTTAAAAGGAAATAAAAACGTTCCACTAAAAGTACTCTGGAGGACCTAACTGCAGCTGTCAGGAGGACCAAATTACCTAATTGGGAGGCCAGAGATATTTAGTAGCAAGCAGCACTTGATACCATAAGTATCGTCCAAATTTATTTAGTGTAAATCATTGGTAGGGTTGTTTTTTGCTACTTAAATATTGTTTTTTATTTATAATAAATATGGTTAGTTAAGTAATTGTTTTATTTTCTATCAGATATCATGGTTTAATTCATAGTTGAAGACAAGACTAGTTCAATCTTGAGAGACTGAGTTAGGCGATGCATAGACGATAAGAGAATAGACAGATAAGAATAGACTCCTATGCTTGATGAAGGTATTATTTTTATAATAGTATTTCAATTCTCGTTTGTAGTCTTATCGTTACATATTAGCAAATCTACTACGATGTAAATTAGAGCTGGATGGTCAGAGAATAGAACACGTTATGGATTTTAAATATCTAGGCATCACATTATATATCTACGAAAAGCTCGAAGCTGAAGTGGAAGATCAAGTGAGTAGAGTAAATAGAGCCGCAGGTTGACTGAAATAAACCGTATGGAGAAATAATAATATAGGGAAAGAAATGAAAGATAGAATTGACAAAACAATCATGATTGTATGACATTAATGATAGTAGATGCAACTGGCTTTGTTCAAAATGCTTTTTTCTTCTAGTATAGCAATTGTTTTTCAAATAACAGTTACAGTTAACGGTTGTTTCCTAGTTTCCTTTTTACACAATCTTTATGACCACTTGACTTTTTATGCTCATTTAATGTATGAATTTAATGTCTGAATTGGTTAAAACTTTGACAAACAATAGTTAAATCATCAGAAAATTCCAAACAAATATTGTAGAACAGTTTTTTTCACTTTTATTGTAAGTAAACCAGTTACTATTTCATTTTCGACCATCCGCCAAGTAGAAAAAAAATACTTTTGCAACAAAGGATAATATTAGATTTGCTTTGAATAAAATCAAATTTAAAAAATCGTTCGTGTTACGTTTGTCTTCCTCTTCTTTATCTTTTTCTTCTTGTATTTCTTAACGTCTTCATTTAAAAGAAAGAAAAAATTACTATCTTTCATAGTATTTATTCACATCCACTTTAAATTATTTATACCTCTAATTCCAGCAAAAGGATTGTTGCAAGCAAGGTCAGGTATGCTGACAAATGTGACAGTCCTTGAGAGAGCAAATGCTGCTCGCGAGCTGCTTGATAACATCAAATGTAGAAATATGGCCTATTTTGGACACGTAGTAAGAGGAGACCGATATAATATTCTTCAACTTATTATGATGGGTAAAATCGAAGGACGCAGAGGAATTGGTAAAAAGCAGGCCTCTTGGTTGAAGAATATCAGAGAGTGGATAGGAATAAGAAAAGCTAAGCAACTCTTTAGAATAGCTCGAGACAGAGACAGTTTCGCCATGTTAATCGCCAACGTCAAGGGGACTTGATAGGGCACGTTAAGAAGAAGCAAGCAAGGAGAATCCCGCAAAATTGTCAAACAATGCAAGTTTAATAAGAGAGACGGGAGTAGAATAGATTGCTTATGCACTTACACATGCCTATGTGAAGGTTGTCCTGGAAAGAACGGCTGTATTTGCAACTGCTCCGAAAAAACTGCCGAACTAAAGTAAATTCAACTTCAAGCTACCGACGATGGAAACAAATGCACGCTGGAAACACGCGTTTGTTCAGGGCCGGACTATTAAATTAAAGCTGCAATACAAAACCTTATATAATTTGTAGACGTCTGACAGGTACAGATTATAGTACACCAATTTTTTAAATATAAAAATGATTTACAAAGTCGAGAGTTATTAACAACAAAATAAAGTATACAAAAAAAAGTTTATAAAATTATCGTATTTTATCTTAACTTTCAGAGTCTGATTTACTGCTGTCATCATTAAAGTTGATAATGATAGGCTCAATTTGTACCTCAATTAAATTGTCCAACTCCCACATTTTTGGCTCCACTTCTTCTTTTACATGTTTCACGCAGTTTTTCCATTTTTCCATGGTTACAGCAGACACAGCTTTATGGAATAAATTTTTAAAGTCAGCAAATTTAAATGTTGTGTTATGCCATGCTACATAATTCTTGACTTCCGCCCATACAAGCTCGATTGGATTGAACTCGCAGTGATACAGTGGCAACCTTAAAACTATTCTATTTGTGCTTCTTACCACTTCATCTACTATGTACTTATTATATTCGCCTTTATGTTGTTTAACGATTTCTAAAAGTTGCACTTTTAACATCGTTTCTTCAAAGGGAATGTCTTTTGAGCGAAGCCAATTTTGAATATCTGCCTTTTTTGTAGCCATAATGGGAATTTTTTACAATTTTCTAGAATGGTAAGGGGCATTGTCCATTGCAATTATAGCATTTTTTTCCAGTGTTTGGAACGCTAAAGTAGGATTATCTTGTAATTCACATATGTATGTATTAACCATTATTTTTTTGATTCTTATATCTTCGTGATTTTTCTTAGCTCTTTTCGTAGGAGGACTTAGCGTTAACAGTTCCTCGTTTTCATTTGCCGACTCCGTATCAGACATATTAAATAAATGGATTTATTATACTTTTCTCAACTAAAATAACAAAATGGGCATTTTCAAATTTACTTTTGGGATTGATCGATCGACCTCTGAAGTCAAACGAGGTTTAAAACAAGCTCCACATAAATCCAGTTTTTAGGTGTTAAAAAGCATCAAACTAATTACAGTTTTACTTAAAAAGTGAATCTAAGTGATTTTTCTCACCACAAGTATAAAATCTGTGAGTACAAATATTTATTTAATCTAAATAATTAACATTTAAGTTAAATCCACGTAAACAAGAATCAATTTTGGTTATAAAGCAACAACTTTTTACTGCTACCGTTTATCAGTTCTGATATCGAGGGGACAGGACCGGACTGGGTTTTTGAGAATTATCGATGATAATAATTAAAAATGGATAATTTTCCGCCTCTTGGGGCCCCTGAACAAGAACTGGAGCAAAGTTCATCAAATACAAATATGAAACAATCTTTTGCAACTGTCACAAATCAAAATGTACCTAAATTTCCATCCAAAACACAAGCAATAGTTTTTCCTGCGTTGGAAAATACAAAGTTGGAAGACTATCTATTTGCAGTTGGTGATTTAATGCATCCAAAAAATATTCTCTTCTCCTCTAGAATGTCAAATGGTCGAATTTGCATTTATCTAACAAGCGAAACTTTAGTTAACAATTTTCTACAAATTAACAAAGGGATAATAACTGTAAACCATCAAAAAATTCAGGCTCGTAAATTAATGTCACCAAATGAAAGATTATTGATATCAAATGTTTGTCCTTCAATCCCACATTCAATTATTGAAAATGCACTTTCTAATTTGGGATTAACTTTGGTAACTCCAATAAATTTTTTAAAAATTGGTACATCAAATCCTAATTACAAACACATTTTCAGTTTCAGAAGGCATACTTTTATTTCTCCCCCAGTCTCATCAATACCCGACTCAATAATTGTGAATTACGAAATGACATCATATCGTATATTTCTTGTAATGGAGAAGGATCTATGTACTAATTGTAGGCAAGCGGGACATTCGGCTGGAAATTGCCCAACTACTAAAGAAACTCAAACATCTCAAGCACAAAATGCTGCTCCAACTACTTCAACTGATCCAATAGACAATGAATACATTCCCCTAACGCAAAACATATCTTCCTCGGCTCCTATACTATCGACTAAACCGGATATCCATATTTTTACCATCTACTCATGTTAAAGAAAGCACTGATTTTCAACAAATGTCCCACGATCCTCCCTCAAACAAACGAAATCGCTCTGAAATTATAACCCCTCCACCAAATGATACTCCAGTAAATAACCCCTTTCCAGACCCTAAATTAAAAAAGCCAAAGTCTTCAATCACAAACATAGGAACCATTAAAGTAACTGACGATATAAAAAATTCAGCTAGACGAATATATGAAGATACTTCAGTAAACCATTCAATATCTTATGAAACATTAGTAGATATACTGGAAAATGCTCATGGTACTCCTGACCCAGTAAGCTTAATAAAAACGTATACAAATGATCTAGAAAACCTATTGAAACTTTTAAATCAACTACATGAGAATTTATCAAATAGGAAATCAAAAAATAGATGCACTAGACTTCGAAACAAAATACTTAAATCCATACAATCAGAAACTAACACCGAATCCGATAACGAAATTGTAAAAGATATATTATAATGGCTTTCTCAATTATCCAGTGGAACCTACGAGGATATTACACTCGCCTTGAGATATTACAACAAATGATTAAAAAAACTTACTCCATCCATACTTTGTTTACAGGAAACTCATTTTAAAAATACTAAAGTTCATAATTTAAAACACTACATATGCACATATAAAAATAGAGAAAATGTAGACCATGCTAGTGGTGGCGTAGCAATTTACACTCATTCATCCATCGATGTAGACATTCTTCAAATCAATACACAACTTGAAGCGGTCGCAATTACTATCAAAGGGCCTGTAAAAATGAACATATGTAATATATACATTCCACCTACACAAAACCCAAGCAATAATGAAATCTCAGACTTGATTAAACAAATACCTTCACCTCGTCTAATAGTTGGCGATTTTAATGCACATAATTACATATGGGGATCAAAAATAATTACTCCATTAGGTCGTAGAATCGAAATAATGTTGGACAATTTTCAGTTAAACCTACTAAACGATGGAAGAAATACTCATTTTGACATTTCTACTGGTAAATCCTCTGCCATAGACCTTTCAATATGTGATCCAGCATTATCAGCTACCTTATCTTGGGATGTACTTTCTGATTTAAATGATAGTGACCATTTTCCGATTGTAATAACAAATCCTGACAGTATACAATACTCTTGTAATGTTGAAAAATGGAATATCAAAAATGCAAATTGGCAAGAGTATTATAATCTAGTTTTAAATGAAATGAATGCATTACATGAAATTTTACAATCAAATAATAATATTGATAGTCAAATTCAAGAGTTTTCCAATGTATTATTGAATGCTGCCGAAAAAGCCGTTGGTAAAATGAATCCTAAACAATTAAATTCGTCAGTCCCTTGGTGGAATTCTGAATGCCAAGAAGCTATTAAACTTTCAAAAACAGCATTAAATCGATTCAGGAAATATAATACACTTGAAAATAAATTAGAATTCAAACGACTAAAAGCACGAGCTAGATTTATAATTAAAAGAAGTAAACGTGAATCATGGAAAAAGTTTGTTTCAGAATTAAATTCATCTACACCAATTAATAAAGTATGGCAAATGGTACGAAAGATATCCGGGAAAAATACCCCAAACCACATTAACTTCTTAGAAGAAAAACAAAAAATATACACTTCCCCTCTAGACATAGCTAATATTCTAGCTAATAGTTTTGAAAGATTCTCAAGTGATAATGTTCTTCCTCCAGATTTTTTGACCAAAAAAGAGAAAGAGGAATCCAAAGGTATTGATATACCGCCTGATGACCTTTCTCCTTTAAATTATCCCATAACCATGGATGAATTAGAATACTCACTCAATAATACAAAAAACTCTTCTCCCGGTCCTGATAACATTCCTGCAATATTTCTTCAAAAACTTCCTTCATCTGCAAAGAAACACTTGCTGAATATCTATAATAATATATGGAGATATAGCAAGTTTCCAAAAATCTGGAGTTCATCTATTGTCATCCCTATTTATAAACAAAATCAACCAAAATCTCTGTCACATTCATATAGACCTATTTCTCTAACTTGTGTAATGTGTAAAGTTCTCGAGAAAATCATATCCAACAGATTAATGTGGTTTTTAGAAAATAATAAATTACTTGCCCCGGAACAAAGCGGATTCCGAAAAAGTCGTTCAACACTGGATAATCTTATTAGTTTAGAGTCTGAGATTCATGAAGCAATGGCATGTGGACAAAAATGTATCGCAATATTTTTTGACATAACAAGAGCATACGATACAGTTTGGCGACATGGTATTGTTCAAAACACTTAGTCGATGGGGAATAAAAGGTAATATAGCACAATTCATAAAAAATTTCCTATCTCATCGAACTTTTAATGTACGAGTTAACGGTACTTTATCTAATACAAAAATTCAAAAAAAACGGAATTCCTCAAGGATCTAATTTAAGCGTCTCCCTATTTCTTATTGCAATAAATAATATTATCTCCACTTGTGACTTACCAGTAAAAGCTAGACTCTTTGCAGATGACTTAATCATTTTTTGTTAAGGGGATAAATGATAAAACCCTTCAGACCCATCTACAGAAAGTGCTATGGAATCTCGAATTATGGACAAATTCTACAGGTCTTCAATTATCAACAACAAAATCAAAGGCTATGCTATTTTCAAAAAAAAGAAGTTATATCACTCCAGAATTAAAACTATTTAATAAAGAAATAAAATATGTTGAGAAAATTAAATGTCTAGGCATGACATTTGACAACAGATTATCCTGGAACCACCACATTCATGATCTAAAAAAGTACTTGTCAATCTGCACTTAACATTATAAAAACTGTTGCACACAACACTTGGGGAGCAGATAGTAAAACACTGACCCTTATGTACAAGTCATTGATCAGGTCCAAACTCGACTACGCTTGTATTATTTATGATTCAGCAAAACCATATATCATAAAACAACTCGATCGAATACAAAATAGTGCTTTGCGAACTATACTAGGTGCTTTTTATACTAGCCCTACTGAAAGTTTACACTGTGAAGCTGGAG